CCTGCCCTGCAGCAGCGGCGGAAGTGCTCTCCCCGTGCTCCCCGGTGGCCGGCAGCGAGGAGCTGGCACGGGCCCAGCGGACGGAGACGCCCCCGCGCGGAGGGACAGGAGCCGGCTCTTTCCTCTCAGGGTCAGAGCTCCTCCATAACTACAGGGGGAGCCGGACCGGGGGTCTAGAAACACCGCTCACAGGGTGCTGGAGGGGTTTAGTAACGCTTGCATCCACCGTGCTGAACTGCACGTGCGGGACCTGTGCTCGGAGCGGCGTCCAAAGCGGAGCTATGAAGTGCTTACTTTCGCTTCCCTGCATGAGATTCATAGGCTGTCTGGGGCTGCAACGGACCTCGCAGATCGTCAGGTCCAGCCCTCCCCCGCTCCAGGCAGGAAGACAGCTGGGGTTAGGTGACCCCAGCGAGGTGACTGTCCCGTCTCCGCTTAAAAACCTTCAGGGTAGGTGACTGCACCACCTCTGGAGAGTTTATTCCACACTCTTAACTGTGAAGTTTTTCCTGGTATTAAGCCTGAAGCAGCCTTCCAGGGGTTGGCCCTGGTCTTCCCCGGGGTGCCCTAGTGAACAGTTGTTGACTAAGCTCCTGCTGCCCTCAAGAATTCAGTTACTTCGAGGTAATGTGATGGATACAACATGACTTCATATTTTTTCACTATGCAGATGAAGTGAGGAAAGCTTTACAATTCAAGAGCCAAGGGTCTGGAACAGACTCCACCTAGAGCTGGCACAGTTGCCTACCCTGGAGCTATTTAAAAAACATCTTGATTTGCACCTTGCTGGGGGCATCTGATCCCAGCAGTCTTGCCTGCCCAACTGTGGAGAGGCAAGACCTGATGATCCCATGAGGTCCCTTCCAGCCCCTAACAGTTATGAGTCTGAGGCTATGAATCCGTATATCCTCCTTGGCAGCAGCATTCCCACCATAAGTGGAGTTCAAACAATACAGAGCCGTCTTGAGGAGGGCACCGCACCATCTGTGTGTGTCTGAGTAATTGCAATGTTGACAACTGCATTCTTCCAAATGTTACCGAACAGCTTTTGAAAAGTTATCCTACAGCACTGACTCATTACATGATTAGACACCGCTAATTTGAGTCTTGGAAGTAATTAATCTGAATTTAAAATGACAGCACATACCTCTTCATGAACCTAGTTTTAGGTGCAATGATGGAGGATTAAGATTATTTTATAGCATATATGTCAGTCTTGTTTTTTACTAAGATGTTTACAGAGAGTTTGTTTCTCCTTTAAAATACTTTTGTGGTTTACACTGCTGAGTTCATTCATTGCACTCTTCTTCCATATCCATTTTACTGTCTGTCTAAGAATTACTATCATCCAGTACTGCTTTTGAAATTTGCCTGTGAGCTTCTAGAGCTTTCCTCTACATCCCCCTTCTTATATTGTCTTGCATCACTGTTCTATTCAAACAGTTACTTGAAAGCATTGAGAGGCTGGTATACAAAACTACCACAGGTCTTGTTTATTTACTCAGACTTGCAGTTAAGTATGCTTAAATATGCACAATGTAAGTAAAATTTATTTCACAAGAAGAAAAAACTGATCATACATGTTTATGCATTTATTTAGTTATCTAGTCATTGAAATACAATAAAGCAGGTACATTAGTTGGAAAATTATTCAGATATAAACATGGCAGAGTACATTTTCCTCATAGAGGACTAAGCACACGCCACAAAACTGTGCAAAAACATCTGAACAATCCTTAAAAGCATGAAAATATACATTAACCTTAAAGCAGATTAACATGAAATGTTTCAACCTAAAACAAAAAATTCAATGAAACATTAAAATTAAAGCACCTGAACGCAGAAACATTTGACCACAGAGGTCGTCTTAGTCATAATTATAAGCACCACCTATGAACACTATAATAAATGCACAACTACACTAACTAATCCTTCCAATTAAGAAGAGATTAGTCTCAGCTGGTGTAAATCAGTCTAATGCCACAGAAGTCTCTGAAGTATTTTCACTTCTACCAGCTGATCTAACCCTCTTTCTCTAGTTGCATTCACTTTGTTCCTAGCATGAAAGAACAAACAGAAATACTTGGAGAGATGCATAAACACTGAATAATGCAAAAACTGTATGATATTACAGAATGTTAGTTCCATAGTACTGGTGCCTTAGATCACCTGTATTTAGTTAGTCTATTATGCAATATGCACTTGAAAACTTACAGTAGCACAAAAAGCTTGTAAGGAGTTGTGCTCTAGTTACAAGATAGAAAATATAGGTAATGGTTTTCCAGTTCAACATTGGATTAAAACCAAAGGCTATGTGAAACATGCAATGCAACGTTACATTGCATACTCACTGTTCTTCAAGACAGGACACTATACAGATAAGGAGAAACATGGAAAAAGCTGAAGTACTGCATTACAGGAAGTAAAGCCCAAAGCAAAAAAACCATGCTGTACATAACGTAAAAATGTATTTGGAGTAGTAAACGGACCTAAATGTTCCAAAACCCACAGAACATCTCATTATAGCAGATTTAAGTTGTCTTTAAGTGTAGCCTGTTACATCCTGGCTTACTCCTGTGCTTTTTTTCTGATTCTGCTGACACATTCATATGCCAACAGTTCATCTTACTTTAAAGTATGTGGCATACACGGGCACACTGAATAATACCGAGTCTTGCCTTTAAATTCAGATACTGATACTACATACTCTTTGAGACAGAATGTTGGTGAAAGTTGTGCGTTCTGTCAATGAAGCCGTGAACTTCCAGGGCTGGGCACAGAAAATTGTGCTGAGAATTTTATTTCTCAGCAGAACAGCAATTCACATTAATTAGCTAGAGCAAGTAGTTCAGAACTTCATATATTCTTTCATCAATGTTTAGGTGAGTTACAATAATGAAAGCAGTAACACTTTCATACATGGTATCAAGATTTAAAGAGTATCAGTTAAGAAATATCTTAATAAGTAATAGTGCATTGCAAAGAGATCAAATTTCTTCAATTTGTGTAGAAGGCAAGTCATTTAGCTAATTATATATAGTAAAAATTAAACTAAAAAGGCTCCAATCTCAATTCAAGGTAGCATAAATGACTTTGTTATCTATACAGATCCACTGTACCAATATTTTTCAGGTCAGTCCAACTGCAAGATAAAAGCCTAGAAGTTTATTTAAAATAAAAATAAAAGTGAAGCTTAGGATAACTTTAAGAACCATCTCAGTACCTCTTATTAAGAAATAAAGCAATAACAATACAAGCAATACACCTTTCCCAAGAGATGTTCATCATTGTTTGAATCATGACTGCCCATCCTTTTTCAAAGCTTCCAGTCTTTGTAGAAGTGCATTTCCAAAAGCTTCACGATATGCTGGGCTAAGAGTGTCCAATAAAGAGTAGATAGTCTCATGGTATGGAGTTTGTAAATTATCATCAGCCTGGTCAAAAGCATAACCTACCACCTGCAGTAAGGAGACCAAGACCAACATTACATTTTTCTCATGAAATAAAGTCATATCATCACAGGAAACATAAGGGAATCACAAAAATTAAATCAAACCCATTAGCATATTAAACACAAAGACCATTTCTACCTCGGACCTTGGTAATGACTCAATTAAATCAGTCTCTAATATACTGCCCTCTCCCCACCTTCCTCAAAGAAGGAGAACACAAATAAACACCAAGTTATCAGTGTGTTTTGGAGAAAATCCTTAGGACAGATATTTACCCAAGCAGTTTACATGACCTGAACAGCAGTTGCATGCATAGAAATAAATATCTGAGTTTAGAGAAATAAATTGCAACTTTTTGTTCGAAGTGTTTAGTAACTTAATATTATGCATTTCTCAACACCTTCTGCATTTATTAACTATGTATGGGACCCAAAGACTGAAATACAGGAAGTCAGCAAGCTTCTCTAGCATCAGCTACCACCCTAACCAGTCTGCACAGGTTCTTTAAAAAAAAGCTTGCTTCCTGTAATCCTCCCTTAATTTGGGGGAAAATGATTAGTTCAGCCTCCTAGGGAGACACTAAAGCATAGAACAGATTCTCAGAAACATGCAGAAGGGGAAAAGATTACACTGCTCTGGTGACAGAGATCCTCTATTAGATTCCTTTCAGCTCATGTCTATTTTAAACAAAGAAGCTTTATAAAGGATAAACAAACAAAGTTACCCTAAGTCCTGCGTCTGTGAGCTCCAGGCAATACCTGTTCCTTTCCCTGGTTTCCACATTGATATATGCCACATCCTCTGCACAGGGAAGGTTTTTTGACACAAACATGTTGCTGACAGCAAACAGTACATCATTCACAACAGCTTCTGCCTCTAGTCTCATATCCTTCACATCAGTTCCTTCGAAGTCCTTATATTCAGGATCCTCTTCAAACTCTGCGTTGTTGGACAGCTCCACGGGATCCATCTCCATTCTGCAAGCAGAAACCCCATGTTTAGTGTCATCGTTCCATAAAGCCAACTCTGCACCACGAACAATGCAGTGAGCAAACAGACATGCTGTGACACCAGCTCTTTCTGCCGGGGACACATCTTGTAGAAAACAAAGGTCAATCAGATCTTTCGGGGGCCACAGTTTTGTTCAATGAGCCATTCAGATTAAGCCACAAAGTCCCTGCCTAGCTCACTAAATTGCTCCCCCCCCCAGCTCTTTGGGGACTCCCGATTTTAGAGTTACACCCAGCTGCTGGATTAGCTCAGTCTCTTAGAGCCTGGTGCCAAGGTCGCAGGCTGGACCCGTGGTCGGACAAGACAATCACCAGCAATTCCTCCCAGCCTCACTTCTCCACCAAACTTATCAGGATTTAGCTTTAAACAAGACCCCTCCGGTCCGGAGCGCGCTGCGCAGCCAAGTGCTGCCTGCAGCCAAACCCGCCCCGGTCGCTGCCAAGAAGGAAAGTGACTAATAGATTATTTACAAGCCGAGACTCGCTCCGGGAGCCAAGCGGATTAGCTAAGATTAAAGCAACACGACCGTAACAACGGCTCTTTGTTGGCCAGTGCCCGAGACGCAGCTGGGCCGAGATGCGCCCGGCGCATTCCCAGGCCGGCGGGGCCGCATCGCCCCAGCCCGGCTCTCGAGCCCCGCTGGGCGCCGCCGGAGTAGCTCGCACAGCAGCCCCCGCCGGCTGCAGCCCGCTCCGCCCCAAGACGCTCACACACAGGAGCTGCGAGGCTCCCCGGGTGGATCTGTAAGGCGCTTCGGCAGGATGCGGAGCAGAGCAAACACACCTCACGCCTCCCCGCCCGGACAGCGACTGAAGAGCCCGACTTCCCACTTCCGCCTCATCCCCACCCACCCGCGGCTCACTTCCGCCGCCGCTCCTCCGTGCTGTGATGTCACTTCCGCTCCGGTACACGTCACCACCGGTCGGTGCGGGGTTGGGGGGGTGGCGCGGGCAGGTTCGGTGAGGGGGGAGGAGGTAGGGGCGACGCGCGCGGCCGATAAGATGGCGGCGGTATCGGTGTGAGGATGGGGCGGGTCGAGATCACGCGCTGTCGCTGAGGGGCGGTGGGGCCTGGCACCGAGTGGGGCCGAGCAGCCCCCGGCCGCAGCCGCCATGCCGTGGCCCTTCTCCGAGTCCATCAAGAAACGGGCCTGCCGCTACCTGCTGCAGCGCTACCTCGGCCACTTCCTGCAGGAGAAGCTCAGCCTGGAGCAGCTCAGCCTGGACCTCTACCAGGGTACCGGCTCCCTGGTGCAGGTCCCGCTCGACAAGTGGGTAAGTGATGCCCCCAGGAAAAGCAGGGCTCTGGGCAGCAGCTGGAACTTCCCTCCTGCCCTTGGTTTCAGTACAAGCAAAACGTGAGTGAGGTGAAGGGCACGGAGGCAGGACGTGGGGCTTTGCTGGGGGCAGGCAGTGGGGCTGGTCCGGACCCCCCTGGGCCAGGCGGCCCCGAGCCCTGTGGGCTGACAGCTGATGGTGCCACAGCAGCCCCAGCTCGGTACTGTATGGCCTTGAAACAGTCTCACAGCTGTGTCTGGATGCAGCCTTTCGGGAGTGGTGGGGGGGTTGATTTGGGTGGACAGTGCCACTCGCTGTGAACGGAGGGCACTCTGATGCCTGGGCTGTCACAAAGGGCTGTGCTCGTGCAGAGGAACCACCTGGAGCTGTGCAAAACCTGGCGCCTCAGTCTTGAAACAGAGAAGGGACTTGCGAACGAGTGCCAGGAGCCCAGCAGAGTTGGCTTCTGCTTTGCTGGAGGTAGGTGGGGAAGCTGAACCACTTGAAAGCTTTGCAGTCCTTACACAGGCACTTACTGACACAGCCTAAAGCAGCAATTCCCAGTGTGGTGCCCCTGGGCGCTATGGATAAAACGTCAAAAGAATATGAAGTAAAGAGAAGCTGCGTTTTGAAGTTGCGGATCTAATGCAATTTTAAGTAATGGATGAGATGATTGGATTGATCTAAATTCTAAACGTTAATATTCATATTGGCGCTTGCTGCTTTTAAAAAAAAATTCAAATGTGCCCTTGGGCGCACAAACTTTGGGAACCCCTGGTCTGAAGAGTCCAGTAACACGGAGTGGTCTGCACCCAACTCTCGCTCTCGGCCTGGAGGGCTGGTGTCCTCTAATGGGGGACAGCCTGGTAGTTCTCCAGGACTCTTTCTCCTTCTCTTTGCAGGGTTGTTGGCTGTAGCCGTGTTGATCTAAGGACAAAGGCAGGTGAGGGTCTTTGGGGAGATGTGATTTTTTTTTTTTTTTTTTATTGGTCTAAAAGAAGATGTCACATCTACCCAAAGAACCTTGTCTGCCTGTCTCCTTCTGTTTGAAACATTGCTTGTTTTGCCTGCTTTTGGATTCCATGGATTTGGGAATGGTCAGCTGGTCGTTGTCTGCCTCCTGATTTCTCTTCTATGTTGCGGTAGTTGGGTGTGTCAGCATGGTCTGTAATATTAAATGTCAGTGTTGAACTGGGGACTGAGGCCTGTGGGACACTGTAGGTGAGAGTTTGGAAGACAGAGGTGTGGTTGTTCATCAGAGCTATCAAGATGCGGCATCCACTTCTGTTCTTTCTCACAATCTCAGTGTCATTTACCTATAACTGCACAGACCCTAAGACACATTTTTAGGATTTTGTGTTTGACTCTGTGAAATTCTAGACACAGAGTTGCATGACAAGCTAGGTAGATATCCATGGCTATGACGAGATTGTCTAACAACCCTCAGAACGTAAGTTGTTTATTAACAGACTCTTGTATAAAGGCAACTGAAGCATTTTTAAACAGTTAAAGCAGCTTGCTCAGAAATGGCAAAATAGACACTGGCAGCTGTTGGGAAGGTTCATGGTGTGAGAGTGCAGATCTGAATACTTGGATTTTTGCAAAGCTGATAAATTGCCATCTTCCCAGGAGTTGTTGACTTCTGTAAGTATAAGAGTCAGGAACTCTTGCCTATTTTTAGCAGCCAGGAAAGCTTTGGATGATCACTCTTACAAGCTACAATGTGATGGACTGCTTTAAGATTTCTTGTTGTGTGAACTGTTGGAAACTGGTTTTGTTTAATGCCCACAATCCTTCATTTACAAATCTAATCTTGCATGTGTGTGAGTAAGGTAGTTTGTTTTCTTACTACTTAGGAGTATTGCAAGTGCTTTATAACTATAAGTTAATTTTTCAGAACTTCAGATGAAAGATGCTTTGCAAATGCTAAGTGTTATTTTTTTTCTTTCAGGTCTGTGAGGTGGCAGGAAAGCAGATGGTAGTCTTAATTAGATTTCAGTGCCCTCTAGTGGAAATCAAAACTATTTACTAGTTTCACTATATGATACTTAGACTGTAAACACCATGATTTCCATATTTGTGTAAGGGAATTGGCATACAAAAGGAATTTAGTAGAATATGCATATAATATTAATTATGTTAATTATCGAACTTGGAGAACAGCTTTTTTTCCCAGGCTTTGCTTTCTAGCTTGTAAATTAGTAGTGTATGTTTTGTTCTGTGGATATAACTTTCTCATGCATGATACAAAATTGGAAAAGCAGATGTTGTGGAAGTGCTACAGCTGTGTTTTTCCTCTTAGTCATTTGAAACTTGTTATTTATATATCGTCAAGGAGGCTGTAGACAAATTATGTTATTTTAGTTTTGGTTTGTGGGTGCTTTAGCTATTATTAGCTTAATACTTGAACATGTTGCATGTTGTTCGTAAGATTGTCTCAGTTTTTAGAAAATAGAGAGAGAAACCTTTTGGCTTTGAATATACTTACAAAGCATTGTTAGCCCCAAAGGGATTGCACCGTATAATGAAAAATCAAATTTTAGCTCATAGTTTGAGAGACTAAATTGAAAAATACACTGAATGCTTTTTTGTGCTGTTACTTATGCTGTTATTTTTCAAAATATAATTCTGCATGCCAGCCACATCTATTCTTTATATACTTAGTTGGGAATTCCTCAAACAGAAATATAAGCGCAAGCCCTGAGGATGTTTGGGGTTTTTATTTTTAATTTTATTTTTGAATTATCCAGAATCATTCACTTCCTAAACAGATGCTCATTTGTTTTTTATGAATGCTTTTAGCAGTAAAGAACATTCACTTGCATTTTTGCTGTTCAACAACAGTAAAGAAGAATTTTCTTTAAATATAGCAGGAAAGGTAGCAGAAAAAAAAGATTTCCTCTGTTTCCAGAAGACAGAGGTTAGAGAAAGTCTGAAACAAGATTCATGCAAAAGTGGTTTTGATATGTAGCTTTTGTTACAATATGTGTACTAGTTAGCTAAAATATTTCTGAAATACCATAGGTTATATTTAAACCTTGTTATATGCCATCAGCAAGTTGTAACGCATGCTAATTATTTCTGCTGTTGATCCCGTGCTCTTGATTGAAGTCTACAATAAATTATCATTTATTCAAGATGCTGTTTTAGCTATAGTGAATCTTGATCAATCATGTCAGTTTGATAAATCAAATTATTACCTCCCAAAACCATTTCAAGGACTGATTCACATTCTATTTTAGTCAGTTGGACTATTTCCATTACTTTTTGGATATTGGAATACAGATACTAAAAAGAGCAGAACACATCAGTTGAAAAACAGATTTTTAAGAATGGAAGCAAAAAAGATGTATGGTTAGGAAAATGATGTTAAAGCAAAGGTCTAGAGAGAGGAACTGACAGTTGGAGACACAAGAATGATAACATATTTTTTCTTGCTTTCTGTAAGTTTCTAACAGCCTGTTTTCAACCACATTTTATTTTAAGATTACATCTTACAATATATGCATTTAGAACCTTTTTTCAGCATACCTTAATTAAGGAGTGACTTGTAAACTGTCAATCCTGCAAATACTTACACCATTATTTAACTTTGACACCATGATTACTAGTTAAATTAAAACCATTGGGACTGTCCATGGCTGAAAGTCAGGCTGCTTGTTTGCAGGATTGAGGCACATGGCTCATATCTTACAGGTATAGAACTGAGCATTGGTTTGTCCACATGAGAAAGTTGCACTGAATTAATTTAAGGAGTAATTTATATTGATGTATTTTAACCAGTCTAGAAGGTTGTGTAGACAGTTTTATTTTAGGGGGGTTTTTTATTTGTCATAAATTAAAAAGGAATCTAGGAGAGTTAGCTGTACTTTAAAGAAACCTTACTGAGGGTCAGTGGTGTAGCGATGGGGGCAGGAGGCATGTCCCTGGGCTCTGGCTTGTGGCGGGGCGCCAGCCAGGCCCTCCAGGGGGTACTTGCTCCCCTGCTGGTACTTCTGGTTTTGCTGCTGGCACTTCTGGGCTTGGCTATTGGCC